TGATCATTTTGACTGATGAAGCATAGAACGAAACGTCTCAAATAAATAAAGTTGTTACTTTATACTTATGTTTAAAAAGGTGACTTTAGTCCTATTATTCTTACTTGTATATATTTTCATATTTTTATGTAATTGATAAATATAAATTTTTTATTGTGTTCAATCAAGAAACAAAATTTATTGTAATATCCTGTCCTCTATGAATAGAAGCCTATTTTTCTTCTTAGTTTTATTGTCTATCTCAATATTACGAGAAGAACAGGTGTGAAAGTGAGAAATAATATATCGAATCATTTAACAATCTTTTGAAGAAAATTTAACATTGCTACTTTAAAATAATATTTTCATACTACAATTGTTAGTATCATAGTCAGATGCTCTAAAAATTAGAATAGATTTTAACAGTATTGATTCCAGTCATGGATATGAATGATAATGGAGATAATTTATAACTTGAACAAAAAATGTTCGATAATTAAAAGTAATAATTTGAGTTAATAACGTGTTTGACAAGAAGTAGCCAACGATATGTTTAAATATGAATAGCTAGAGAGTAGGGAGAATAGGAGTGTAGAATGTAGTATAAATTACTAATATATTTAATCTGATTAGTCGATTTTTAAATTTCACTTTTGCTAACGTCGTCTACATTATTTCATTTATAGTAGTTTAAATAAATTTAAAGAGTAGGAAGTTTTTGTTTACAGATACGGAAAAAATAATTTGTTATTTTTTTTCACCAATCAATCAATCAATCAATCATTTAGTCAATATTAAAGATAAATATAAACGAAAAAACATTTATTTACACATAGATTTCAAGTATTTATAATAATAGTGAATGAGAAAAAAACTCTTTTGAAAGAGAATGTTATGTTTGTAGAAGTGACTGTTTTTTCATCAAAACAAATAAAATTCTGTTTATTTTTGGGTGATGTCAAATAGATCTAATTGTTGCTTCTTGAGAGATAAAGTTATAGAAAATTATCATAATTGTACGCAATTATTCTCAGTAGTGGCGCTTTACTATCCAAAAGGAGAAATTGATAGGGTATATGTGATGAATGAATGAATTTATTAAGAAAGAACAATAAAAGTGGATACATAGAGACTTTTACAAGTTCATTCATTACCAAGTATAGAACTACAATAAATGATGATCGAAACGAAAGCAAAAATACGATGCAACGTACAGGCACGACATAACAATATATGGACTTCAGGCATATGTTTACTGTACAAAATAACTGTTGTGACGATCTATTGTCATGTTTGCACTATCATTGTTATCTTTATTTAGTGCTTAAGTATTGGCGAAGATGCTGTTTGAAGACGTTGAATTATTAGTATATCCTCAATTTCGGATTCATTGATGTCGCCATTAGAGATGTGCAACCCGATCCAACCTGAAGGTTGGGTGTGGGTCAGGTACGGGTTCCATTTTATTTTAAATTTACCCGAAAATTGGAAGAGTTTAGTAGAAAATTACAAAATTTTAGTGAAAAAATAAAATATTTTAGCTAAAATACATGAAATTTTAAAATAGTTACTTGAGAACGTAATGATAACTTGAGATCGCCAGTTGAAAAACAAACATTTTTAGCTGGAAATCGAAAAGCAGAAAATGTTTAGGCATAAGTCGGATACGGGTGAAAAAACATGTTCGGATCGGAAAGCGGTGCCCCTGCACATCTTTTAGTCTCCACCCTATCGTGGGGGTGGAATATATACGCGCTATTGCAGTGGACTAGTTTGTTCATATGATGGTTGGATTAAGTTTAGCGAATCGATGTCGTTGAATGCATGTAGGATTAAGTAATAAACTGTATTAAGGACAAACTATCAGGATTCTGTGGTTGCGTACAATATGTCAATACGCGCATCTTCTACTAACGGATGGTACAGAAAGAATAGCGTAGCTTTTATTTTCAGTTCTTCTCCTTTCCATTTGAACTCACAGAGCTCAGCTTATTATCAAAAGATTCCCTATTCATTTCTCTACAAAAAGGTGTAGAAGATGATGCTAAGGTTTGAGAATCAAAATGTCTGAAAAACTTTGAATTTTACAACCGCTTTGTGGTCACTAGAGACTCAGACAGAATTCATTTCTGAAAGAATCAAAAGAAGATACCATGACCGGTTTCGACCTTTCTCAAGCGTCTCATCAGGTGGTTTCCTTCGAGAAAAACAGAGTTAAGGTACGACAAGCAACACAACTCCGTCACACCATATGAGGGTGTTACTATTCCTTGTTCTTATCGAACAAAGAACGATAACTTTCACAAGACGAGAACACAACACAATACCACTGTACAATTGACTAGTTAATAACTGGTAACCATTACTGAATAAAATACATTAGTTTCAACATCTCCATTATTCAGAAAAGTTACATCAAGCGTTTCGCACGTGAGTCGAGTAGACCATACATGTGTCTTCAAAATGACGCAAGAATAAGCCTGATTGGTTCAGTTCTGTCTGAGCAATATTCATTTTACAAATAGCCACAAAATACAGGTTGAAAAGGTGAAAAAACGGTCATAGGGCTTTTGCAAAAATCATTACTGGAAACACAGAAATAACGATAGAAAATTCGCTTTATAGCTAATCGGTAAAGAATTTTAAGGCCTACATTTTAGCCTACTTGCTCTAGACACAACACATACATTCAACTTCATACTGGTGAAATACACTTTTTTGTGTTAAATTTTTTAAGTTTTTCGGACATTTCGATGTTTGTTCAATTAAGACAGCGTCTCAAACCTTAGAATCATCTTCTATACACTATTTTGTAGAGAAAGTAGGCTAAAATGTATGCCTTAAAATCTTTTGTAATAAGATGAGTTTTGTGAGCTCAAATGGAGAAGAGAAAAACTGCAAATAAAAACCACGTCATTCTGTCTGTAACACCCGTTAATCAAGAGTATACCGTCTAATTAAACTACAACAAATGTACAATGTCGGTCACTATAGTACTCTGCATAGGTCAATTTGTATTATTAAGATAGCACCCAAAAAACACAATAGTCGATATAAACTATTTATTCAGTCTCCAAATTTTATTTTTTAAACAATAAACAAAACATCCAACAAGAATAATTTTAAAGAAAAAATTTAGTTCTACTTGTTTCCATTTCTTTTCTTTTGAATACAAATTCGTATTCTCCATATAACGAATCAAATGTACCCTTTTGTATTGATTTTAATTTTAATGTAAAACGTGGACCTAATTCTTGAAGTCCTATTGTAAAAAGAAGCATATGTTTATGATCTATTACAAATAAAAAATAGATTCAAAAAAACATTTTGTCACTTACCAACTTTTTTTTCATCTTTAAACTTGTACATATGATGACGAAAGAAGATAAAATCTCTTTGATTATGAAATGTAATAACATGTCGACCAACATATTGTGGATCATGTGGAAACAGTGCTGCTAATAATCGGCCAACTTTAACACCAATTCTTGTATTGAAATGATTTAAAATGATTTCTGGACGATATTTTGTATAACAATTTTTTCCACGCGATCTCAGTTGTTTTGATAAACGACAACTTGTTAAACGAAATTTCATTGTTGGTCCCTCGGGTAGGTGAGAAATGTAGAGTGTGGACGGTTTACCTAAATAAAAATAAAAACACGACTAAAAACAATTTGAAATACTCCAGCTTGTATGACGTCAGAAGAGAGTCTTTTAAACTCAAATGTAAGATCTTATCTTAACTTCTAAATGATTTATCGACCTACCATGATCTTCGTTAATGACGATTAAATCAGTGTAATCTTCATCGGCCATTTTTTTCATTATTCTTTTAATTGGATGATGTCGACGATAAAAATATGTTGTATTTGGGAGTACACGTGCTAATTCTTTTAGAAATTTATTCGTAAATGACGTTGGAAATCCTTGTTGACTTGTTAAAAGTATTTTTGGTTCATTGTCTGTTTGACGTTTGAAATATTTACTCATTTCATCATTTTCAATATCATTTAGTGTTTCCGAATCATTTTGATCAATCCATGTCTCATCTGGTTGACGTTTACTTTCCAATGTTTTTGGTTTTTCTCTTGGTTCATTTGATTCTTTACGTAATTTACGTTCTTTTAATTTTGTTTTAGATTTTGTACGTTTTAATTTTACATACAATAGTTGTCGAACCATTTTATTACGAACATTAATATCTCTTGTACTGTTTGTTTCTGTTGTTTCAGGCTCAGGATTATCATTTTTCTGTGATTTCTGAAATCTTTTTGACGGGCGTGGTGGCTCTTCTTCTTCAGAATCACTGTTTGTTCGACCCATTTTCTAAAATATAACAAAAATATACCCAATGAATTAATGTAGAAAGGAACGACAAATTCTTCGTTCATTGATGAAAGATGCGTTTCAAACTCATTCGAAATCTTATCTAACATACTGATTGTTCTTCTTCAGAAAATAGGAAAATCCATGGGTATGATTCGCTAATGATTGGTGATGATAGTCTGACATGTGGTAAACAGTCAGACACTGAAAATTATGTTTTTCCCTCTGAATATTGGTACTCTCTTTAATGCTTATAGTTAGTGTGTCGCTGTTATTTGAAAAAGTCCTCATAGGAATAGATCTTCAATTCAAACTCTAATGTTTGACCTTCACTCGCTTCAGAACTATTCAAACAGTGTGCAAGAAAAAAGTGGAATGAATCGTACAATCAGCGATATAATCTTATCAGACACGTTATGTACTGTCTCACAGATTTGTTATAAGTGGCCTCTTACCCAGGACAATGATTACTACAGCGGTAAATGGCCGTATACTACAGTTTATGATGATGGATACTGTAGTATACGTCAAAATACAAGCTGTTTACAACGAAATACGATGACGCCTACCGTGAAGAAGGATTACGACGTCGTATTTTATCTGGAGCGGATATGTATTTCGTCGTATTTCGACGTATACTATAGTTTACGGCCGTAGAGCTTCGACCTGGGTAATCATGCGAATATTTTTTCGAAGTTCTATTCATCATGACGCAAAAAACCACATGGTAAGCATAGGCTGGCAAAGTTTTATATAATTGTTTTGTATCGTGTGATGACATTAAAAAGGGGAAAAGAGAGAAGAACTTTATAATAATTAAGCCCTCAGAGTTGTTCGATTCAGGAGCCACTTTTAAAAAAAACTTGATGTTTATGTTTTCTTACTAGCTTTAGTAAGAAGTGTGACTTAATTGTAAAAATGGCTTAAGTCGAAAAAGATAAAAAATCGTGTTTTATAAAAAAACTTAAGTGTGATTTTTGACTTAAGTTACACTTAGTGTCTTGCTTAACTTAAGTCACCTATTTAGGTGACTTAAGTCAATAAATTTGACTTAATTCTGTATAAACGTTGGATCATTTCTAAAAGTATTCAAAGTAAAATTAATTAAAAATGGCAATCGCAGCCTTTTAAGCGGCAAGAGCATTGAGAAGGAAGCGACTATTTAAAGATAGACAAAATAGACCTTTAGAAACTATGACAGATGTAGATAAGTGCGGGACCAAGGCTTTTCAGTCCCAGTCTCCGTCCCGATAAAAAGACTTTTTTGATCCCGGTTCCGGAGCGCTTTTATGGTCCCAGTTTTTAATAAAGTTTGCATGACGTGGGATGAAAGTTCAATGCCTAGAAAAAACCTGTAAGACTTCCTGACGATTTTCTACAACATTTCTATTTAAGTATGGATAAAAGGCCAAGTTTTAGCTGATTTTACCCAACTGTCAAAAGAAGTCTTAGTTCCAGTATCGGTCCCAGAAAAAAAGTTTGTAGTTCCGGTTCGAAAAAACTTTTTTGGTTCCGCCCATGTCCAGACAAATGATATTATTTGGCATGCTGCAGATTTCCAAAAGCGGCTATTATTAATTTATTACATCTGATTGAGCCGCAGATAGTTCGTGCTACTCAAGGAAAGTTGCTTTGCAGCAAATATCTCAGTGAAAATGTGACTTTGTTCATATGTACCTGCATAACTGCATTGACGCTTAGTCAAACCGAGTACAGTCTACGTTTCTGACAAGGAGAAAAGAAGACAACCAACTTCATCTTTGTTTACACGCAGAAAAAGGAATTGAGTATGGCTATCTTCATTTAAGAGCTATAAAAAGTAATTTTGCTGGTCGTCTGTCTAAACACCGTCCTTCCGCTTAAAGTTAGAAGACTTTTTCAACTACAAATGGACTAGTTCTAACGCACCACTGTACAAAGTTAAGGTGACTGTGTAACACAACACAGTCATCCTAGCTTTGTTGTACTAGTTAATTGACGTAAGATGAAAGCATCGTTCTAAACTGTACTGTGAACCATCATTTTTTACTTTGGCGGTTAATGAAATGCAATTTTTTTTGTAAAGAAAACCAGAGGACTAATAGAAGAAGCTCTGCTTTACAGCACTGTCTTATGCTCTATGAAAATATTTAAGTTCATCCACGGCACATATACCGTATTTTCCCTAATGCGATTGAGTCAGTCGTTTCATCCACAAAAATCTTTGCTAAAATGACTGGATCAGCCATTTGAACCGTCTTATTCAGCAACTCAGCCATTTCACTTTTCTGGCAGTGTCGCATAGAAATACTTAGAAACCATGATAAAACGCACTCAGTCCTCACATTTTTTTCTATCTGTATTGGTTAGATGTATCACAGTGACGCATTTACCCAGCACTAAATACACTTAAGTCAATTTTCTAACTTAAACGCTAAGTCACACTTAAGTTACGCTTTATACAACGCAGTTACGGCAAAACTTAAGCTTTACTTAAGTGTGACTTAACGTCAGCTTAGTTTTTTCACTTATGTCAACGACTTAAGTCGAGCTTAAATTTTTTAAAAAGTTTTTTAAAGTGGGCTCCATAGTGAAGTAAAAGTCCAAGATGTTAGCGTATCACTGTCGAGACAAAATTAATAATAAAAAGAAAAATTTCAAAAGACAGCTCAAGTAAACTAAATTTTTATTTGTGGAAAATAAGCAAAGAAAAATTCAGATATGAGTCTCCATATTGAATGGTAATGGTATGTGAGACATCTATAGCCAGCAGATGCCGTCGCTATTCAGTCGCTGGACAAAACTATAATGTTAACTTCAAGTTGTTGACTCAAGTATCAGTTGTACCTGCTCTTGCTACCTTACAGAATTTCTGATTAGAAAACAGAATCAGGCGTGAACAATTTTTTGGAAAATCACTTTAGTATTGTGAAAAGAGATTTATAGGAGGTAAATGCAAGAACAATTAGCAACCACCAGAACTGTGGAGTTCAGTTTGCGCGTGGTTTGAATAAAGCACAATGATAGTCTTTGGATGACGTTTGATACTCGATACGGTGGACATAGTCATTTTTTTAACGGGGAGGTGAGTGGGATGGTTATATGATAATTAAAAGTCACACTTAAACTCACAACACAAACTTTAAGACAGAGGAGAGTAATGTTTATATTTTGGTAAAACGGTAAATTCTTTCACGTGTTTAGACATGATTTATTAACGTTTTTCTAAAAATATATAAAACCCTTATATCTTAGCGGTAAAAGAGGTCTGTAATGATAGGGCGTTCAGTATAGGAGCATGATCATGAGCTATCATGCCACTCAAGACACAAGAGATTGGGAGGTACTATACTATTTCGGTGTTAATAATAGCTAATGCAATTACTTCACGCTTTGGCCAATAATTTCAAAATTTTAATCCAGATAAGTTTTAATTACTTAATCCAGATTGTGACATATCGTTAGACCTGACCGTATTCTTTTCCGACATAAACTGTCTGAATAGTTCTAACACTACATTTGATATTTACATGGTTTTTAGGTTTACTTGATTAATGCATTGTGCAAGAGAATCGTAATAAAAATGTTGCTGATTACCAGCATCAATACCAGCTAGTTTCGTTCTAATATGGTCGAAGAAAAATATAGGGACTAGTTTATTTATAAGGGAAATTTTGATAACAGTTGGTTAACGACTATTATTTGCAATTTTAGTTAGAAAAATGACGTATAAAATCAGATAATTATTATTTCGTTAAACTGACATAATCTTTGTCATCATTGAGAGTATGATACCAAATTTTTTTATTGATATTCCATCTAATTCACTAGTTTGGTTTGAAAATGTTATCAAAAGAAAATAGTAATTATTATTTATTATTGCTGTTAATAATGATGATTGATTATTAAATAATTCGAATTTGTATTTCTATTACTTATTATCTTTTTCGTATCTTTACGTGTAGTTAAATGGAATAACAATTTGATATTTTAACATTTATGATCTCATGATTAATATTCCTTTTCTATTCTGTGAGAATGTAAATTATCATTTTCACAAATGTTAAATAGATATTCATCACTTCTTGTAATACTAAATGTTAAATTATATTTCTACACTCCAAGATTACCAGACACTTGGGGGCACGCGACATGTGGATGCAACGACACTAGGGGGAGAGTGACATTCGGATGAAACGACATCTGGACGCATGTACGATGCATTCAGTAAGAGTGCATTTGTTAAAGTATGATGGATAAAGATAAAATTTTCTATTAAATAAACTTAGTACGGTTTTTTCTATATTACTCATATTCAACTGTAGTCACTGCTTGCTTAATCTTCATCGATGCTCACCCTCACACTCCCCCTCACCTTTGAAGCTCAAATGTTGTTGCGCCCAAATGTCGCGCACGCCCAAGTGTCAGCCCCCAAATGTCGCGCTCTCCAGAGTCGGTATATCGAGTTTAGTAAGATCTTACTAAGGTATAGATTATTTTGTCTAAGGTTTTTTTCAAGGTTGGGTGATATTTTGTTAGAATCCTAATAGTGAGAACTATATTATAGTTTTTAATAACGTTCATTTACGATTCACTAAGAATTTTTGAATATCTAGTCGACACTGTTCAAAGTACAAACTGAACAGATTTAAAGAAGAAGACAAATTTCATATTTTTGGATCCATGGATCTTGACTTGTATTGTACACGCTGAAAATTGAACTGAATCAACTTTTTTTTCTCACCGCAGTTTCAAAATATGGGCGTCACAAGTTTAGGAATCAATGCTTTTGGTTGAAAAAGCCTGTTTTAAAAAGTTTTTAGGTCCCATAATTACAGCACACGTGATCGTTAATACGCCAAACGACTCGTTATGTCGATATTTATTCAGTACATAAGATACTTATCTGCTTGAAAAAAAAATGCCGATGGATATTTTTCGCATAACTTTTCATAGGAATAAGGCATTCGATTTTCACCATTAGAGAGACAAGATCGGGACACGTAGTTCAATGAGAAAAACCTTTTCAAAATCTTTTGCGCAAGTTTGTTTTTAATGAGATTTTTGGAAAACCAGGTTCGTATTTCGAAAGTTGCCATACAAACATTTTCGCTTCCTTTCATGAATCGATAGTTCAAACTGTCCTCTTTAAAATGAGATCTAAGCGACCTCTTAACTTTGGTGGTTCAGATGTGGCACTATATATCATCTTTGTGTGAACATAATAATGCCCATGATAGTGAAATAGAGGTTTTCGTTTTAAGTGTACATCTATATAATACTAAATTCTTTTTTTAGAAACCTGGACAAGAGCACAAATGTGAAATGTGAAGAAGATATCCTGAAATGGCTCACATTCTCACTTAAACTACTTCTTCTGAATACACAACAGATACACTCATTTGGGACAGATAATTAATTGATAAAAGATGTTTTAAAAGCATGATCTCCCTTATTTTTAAAAAAATGGCTTACTTTTCTATGGTCTTGTTATTTAAATACAAATCAAACAGACGTTTCTTTGACTACAATAGTAATCAACAGAAATGAAAACAAGAAATATTCTTTTTTTTTATGACCTTGCGAATAATAATAAAAACAATTTAAACTAACGTTATCAGTTTCTTTTTACTGTTTAAATATAACTTTCAGGGACATTAAAAATTTAAATTGATAAATAAGAGTTTAACCTAGAATTTTAAAAATTTCTAATTTTCTTAGTACTAAAAGTGAAAAAATAATATAGCAGATTTTCGATCCGTATTTAATATCAAAGGAGATTCGGACAATAGACATAAATCGATGTTGTCATGGAATTTATTCTGCTCTACAATTTATGACATACGTGATACCGTTGAGTTGATTTTGAAAAGATTCTGTAGACATATTTGTATTTCTTATAAAAGCAAAAAATTTTATTTCTCTCTTGATTTAGTTTGTCATGCTTTCTTTTCTTTTTCTGTTTGCTTTTTAAAGAAACGAGAATAATATGACGACGATGCCATTCTTTTTAAACTTTTTTCTATGAATTTCTGGTGACTTTTATTGTTTAAGCACACTATTTTTTGTAGATGAACACCTACGGTGTTTGTAATAGATATGACAGAATGAGAAGAAGAAATTCGATGAGAGAATAAAAGTATTCGTTTTTTGAATTTTTACTAGCAATAATCAGACATCATTATTAGTTAGTAAACGTACTGAATCAACTTGATAAATGTTGAATCTTCTTCAATCGAACAAAGTTATAACTATTCAATTTAAACAAGACTAGTTTTTGTGAAAAATTTAGTTTTTAGTTGTACTTTAAAACCCACTTTCTAGATTTGAATATGGCCAGCAAAAAAGGTCTAAAAAGCAAGAAAATTGATGATGATATTTTTGATGAAAACAATGATACTGAATACATTTCCAAAGATAAAAAGTCAAAGTCCAGACGAAAAGTTGAAACACTGCCAGCTTCACCTGATGATGACAACGATTCTGAGAAAGTTGTTTCGCCAAAATCAACATCATATCCACCAGTACAGACAATTTCCAAAGATAAAAAATCAAAGATCAAACGAAAAGTTGAAACACTGCCAGATTCATCCATGAAACATAAATATGATGATAACGATTCTGAGAGAGCTTTTAGGCCAAAATCATCACCACTTCCACCAATTCCGACAAAAATAAATATTTCAACTATATCTCCGTTTACTATGAAAAATTTTAAAGTAAGTTTAAACTTTGACGATCAAATTTTTAAAAATATTTATTTTTCATTCAAATTTGTTTAGAATTATATTGTAAATGATTCAAAACTAGTAAATTCACAACAACCAAGAATTGTTGAATGTGATGCCAATGTTTTATTAACGGATGCACATATTTATGAGTTAAGTCAATTGGAATGGCCACTTCTTCAAACAATTCATATTCGTGCATGTCCAAATATTACACAATTTGCTATTAAATATTTGAACGAAATGAAAACTCGAGGAAAATCAATCGAAGTGGTATGATATAGGTCTGTTTTCTTAGTACTAAATGTTCTATGTAAAATGATTTTATTCTGATTATTCGTAGAAAATTGATTTATCCGAAGATAATTCAATTAACCATTTAGTAAAAGCATATCAATATTTTAAAACAAATGCACTATCAATACTGACTAAAGTATTTTCTAAGGTATATAGATTTTGTCAAATAGATATGGTTAAAAATCTAAGCTCTATATCTGTTTAGACGACAGATGCAACTTCAAATCATAAAATAAAATTAATTATCTATAATTCAAATCATCATGAGGAAAGTCAACTAATTTTGAATCAATTACAACAATTTAGAAAACCATTGTCACCCGTAGCACTGACGAAACATCACAAGAAAAAACATGTTAAAGATGATATATTCTATATCGGTTATCATACATCGATTCATACAACAAAAGAAAATCAAGAATGTGAAATTCATGCAATTGAATGTACAACGGTATTGATTCAGATGTCAATATCTGAAATCTACAATTTATTTGAATACACCTTGCATATCCACTAATTTTTTTTGAATAATGTTCGATAGGAAAGAGATAGAGACTTGCGGTTTTATCAATCGATAGAGGGCAGCTGGTGTCATTGATCTGTCAAAAACAAATAAAATTAATTCTACTCTCTGAAGATGATTTTTTGTTAGGTAGGATTTTCTGTCATTAAAAAAAGTTTTTGGATTTTTCTTTCTCATAAGTGAGTTATAACTACTAGACTATCCTTTATAAATCTATGCAAGTTTCAAATGTTCATCTATTATTGTTCTCGGATGACAGTAGTTTAAGAGACCATTCTCATCACGTTTTTATGAGGTTTAAGAACTTTAAAATTAATTGAAAACATAGAATGTTCGACAACGTCGACACATGTGGCAATGTTTATTTTTAAAATACGAAAAATAGAGTAAATTGCTTCTGATCTTACCCTCTGGATATACCGTACAGAGACTGCTAATGATGCTTATACAACAGAAAAATGCAAAGTTACATGTTGAGTTTAAGATTTTGTAGAGAACGTTATAAGAAATCAATGCTGCTAAGTTCGAGTTATATTTTGAAAGTATGAAGCAATGAAAAGTGATTTTAACGGCAGCTTTGACAGAAGGAAGAAAAGTATGCATCTCAACTGGGAATCGAATCCAAGACAGCTCAGCGGTCAGCAATGGTCGTGAATACCAATGTCCTGGGTTCGATTCTCAATCGAGATGCATACTTTTCTTCCTTCTATCAAAGCTGCTATTAAAATCATTTTTTAGTGAAATTTAGCTCACACACTAAAATCTCGTTAAGTATGAAGCAGTTTGCATGAGTTATAAACTAAACTATCTGCTGTTAGATAGAAATAATCTAAAAACTGTATTTCTTTAAAAAGATTTTCACTACTGTTTTAAATATATTTTTCTATAGACAAATGTCCCCAACTGTCCTCTATTAAAGAGAAAAAATTGCAAATATTCATCTGTCAAACTTTATTCAAAAAGAACAGTGAATTCCATCCATTGTATAGGAAAATGTTTAGTAGTATGTGAATATATTTGTTCATTTAGCCATTGTTGTTCAAACAAATTACTGAAACATTTTATCCAACAATTATTTATATTACTCTTGATTCAAATTTAAGTCATACGAAAAATGTACAAAATGTATTAAAAAGTTTATTAACAATAGACAAAACAGTGTGCACATCGGATTATCTAGTACGTATAAAATTTTAAAAGATAATTCGATTTAAATATTGCTCTAATTTGTTAGTATAGATGAAAAAAATATTTCGATTCATCGTGGACAAACATGAATTTGATTATGAACAATTTTTAAATGAATTAAAATCGGCTTTGAATGAAATAAAAAAAATATCTGAACAATTATACAAGAAACTTATGAATGAACAATTGTTAAAAAAGTAAAAAAGTTAATAATTTCTCAATAGGATAATGTACATCAAAAAAAATTGTTCACCATAGATCGAACGATATAGTAGATGATTTTCAACGTTCAATGCAATTAAGCAAGCTATTACATTTACATACAAAATGTCAAATATTGAAAAAGAAATTAAGTGTTGAAGAATGTCCTCTATTCAAATATGATGGCAAATCAGATGTAATATACGTAATTTACACACGTTTTAAGATAATAAATGATCTGTGTATGTGTTTTATTTTCTTATTTCAGAGTCAATTTTTACAATTGTTCTTAGATGATGTAATGGTTAATTCACATGAAACATTCAGTTTTAACGAATTAGATGAATGCTTTAAAAAACAAAATATAAATGATGTGAAAGAATTGTTAAAAGATATTGTTAGTAAACTCATTTCAAATCAAAATTCATCAGTAGAAAATGTGGATTTTATCAATATAGCACAAGCATATATCGCACAAAAACTTCTAACAGTAACGATTGACAGATTTTATGAACTGAAATAGATGTATTTTTGTTATTATTTTCTTTTTTAGCAAAATGGTTTTATTGTTCATGATTATTATGTTTCAAATTTAGATTTGTATTGTCAAGTTATAAATAAAGTATTAAACATGACGACACAACATCCACATGAGACAAATGATCACAACAAACAATTTTTTGGACAATTTAGTGCCATTGGTACAAATGCAGCCTTTTTTACCGAACATGATTTAAAACGAGAAATTGGACACGAAAATGTATGTTTATATAGATTGTTGTTATAAAATACATAGTAATATTTATTTTGTACTTATTTTAGTTAAAATTTTTCCAAACTATTATGAATAAATGGAATATTATACATTCATTTACAGTCAATGATGAAAATATGTTTGTGGCATCTACTGCTGTACCTTCTACACTACCATTTCCGTTGGTATGATTTACTGAACGAAAAAAAATCCATTTTATATTCATAATACTTCTTGTAGGAAACTGTTTGGTCGGTCAATTGGCAAAAAGAGTTAGATTTATATATCCGTTTTCATATTCTAAATCCATGTGATGAATCTATACTATTTTCACTCTATAAAACTTTACCATGTCAAAAATTGTTAATTGCATCAACACGTATTTTACTCATACAAGGTGGGTACGATAAACAACAGTTACCAAAACTGTAATTATTTCTATTGTTTTTTATCTTTATTAATAGATGGTGCAATTGAAATATTAATTCAGTTTGAAGATAATGAACAGTATTCACAAGGTAAAAGTAAAAAAGTAACAAATTAGTTAAATATGCTTATTTTTCTCCCATTATTGTTCAAGTTTTAACATTTCAATTTCGTGCCATTAATTTATACAGTAATGATGATGAAGAGGCAAAAAATAATCCAGCTTCCCAATTGAATTACGATATGTTAAATTATACTGCTCGAGAATATTATATTCTAACATGGGCATTATTATTAAAACTGGATTATGCATTCAAAGTACGAATGAAAACGTTATTTAATATATCTAGTCAACTGTATTTTGTTTCTGTTTTCTAAAGGTCAAAATAAAACGTAATGAAACTAGTTTAACAGGTAGGAACTAAAACTTTTTGTATATCATCGATAGAATAACTCTTTTTATTTAGATGATGATTTTATGCATGAACAATGGTACAATATATCGCTCTATCATTATTCTTATTTTTCAACATTATCTTCTAATTGTGCAATATGTGGAATGCGTCCATTTGCTTCAAAATCTCTCTATGTAGGCTATATTTGATTATTATTTGATTATTGACTCATTTGCTCTATTCTTTTGTTTCAGGATGCATGTTCAATTCTAGTACCAAGTATAAAAAATAATTTTAATACATATACGAATAGTCGAAATTTATATTCAATGATAATATCTCTATCCGATGGTAATATTTCTTATAATTCACTATCATCTTTGCGACCAGACGGATGTAATCAATTTGGTATAATAATGTTGAATAATGAACATAATAATGTACAAAATGAATTTTTTGATGGAAGTATTCAAATTGGTTGTATTATGTAAGTTTGATAACTATGTTGGTGTAAATATTTTATAGAATTAAAATATTCTTTTAGAAAAAATTTTGGACTAGGATCTGATGATAAAATTACATTTATGTATGGTTCAGATGAGCAGATTAAAAATAAACAAAAATTCAATCAATCTATAATTTCCAATGAATATGAACAACAACAAACAGCTACTAAGAACACGGTTAATCAGTGATCAATTTAATATTTGAAAATTTTTAATCATAATGTGTTGTTATTTTTTTCCCCATTAGGATATTCAATCAAAACTTTTAGATGAAATAAAACAATTTGCTGGTTTCAAAAAGAAAAAGAATACATCTAGTACAATAAAAGATGAAAACAAATATGATGATGGACGGATTTATCATGGATTAAAACTACATATTGAAATACGTCTAACAAATAAGCCCGTATGTTTTGTTATTTATAAAATAAATTCTCTTTTTTCATTAAATGTCAGAATCTTCCTTTTAGAATGTGTTTGAATTCATTTTTTATATTAATGATTTTCCTTGGTCACATGAAACATATAAACGAAAATCTACAAAAACCATGTTTCAACCATTCTTCGATTGTACCACATTAAACGTCAAAATTTCCGAACAAATGAAAATATTTTCAATTGCTGTTCATTATCCACGAACAATGATGGTAAGATGTGTTAACGAAAGTATACACATAGGTTTTTAGCTTGTATTCTTTCTCAAACAGGATGAAGAAGTTCGAAATGTTGAAAATGGAGTTCAAAAATCTAATAATTTTAACAAGACAAATATAGTATTTAAAAAAGGCATGCGTTTGGAAGCAAAAGATCGAAAACATCCGAGTATCCTGGCTATAGCAAACATTAGTATGTTAAGTTCTCACATTACGAGGACACTTCTCCTTTTTCTTCGCGACATTTTCGATTTTAAATTGAACATAGTCTCATGCAGAAGAAAGTCCTGTCTACAAAACAGGACCAATTTCAATCTTCTACAATCTTTTGTTTGAAAGGATATGAGTTTTTGAAAATAACAAAGTGCTCAGATAGAGCAAATAGAGTAAGTGTTCGCCTTGTCACAGAGATGAAAAAACAGATTACTTGTTGTTTCATCTTGTGATAAATGTTATGCCTCGATCGGATCAAGTTTTTAGAAGATCTTAATATACGTAGATTGGAATCATCAATGTTTTGAGCACGACAGATAAAGTTAAACAGATTACTTTTCTTGGGCATTTATGCCAAGATTCATATTCCTGCGAAAAACCATCGAAAGATTCAAGAAGTAGTAACATTATATAGAGAGATGTTCTATCAGACTACGTAAAAGAAATAATTTTGAGGCACCGAAGGAAAGGAGAGACCGAAGCCAAAAAACTAAGCTTTTTGGCTTTTCAGAAGAAAACAAATTTTTCCAAAAAACTTTTCCTACTATGTTCAATTTAAAATCGAAAACTTTGTGAAGTAAAAGAAGAGAGTTTACCGTTAACTATTATAAAAAAATAAAAATACATAACTAACTGATAGAATGTGTTTAGTCGCTGTGCACGATGATAATCGAATAACAATTAATTTTGATGGATGGGGTCCAACTTATGATTATACGACTGAAGTTGATAACGCCGATATACATCCGTGCGGCTATTGGGAATATATTCAACGAGTTTTATATAAAAATGTTGTGATGGAAAAGCCATTACCACATTCTACATTTAATCGGTTTGATAGACCACAACGTAAGAGAATATAAATGGTTTTATTTTTTCACTAATATTCATTATTTAGATTATCAAAAAGAATTTTCTTGGCGAACCTATTTAAGAGAAATTGATGCTGAACCTATACCATATGAATGTTTTTCATATGTAAGTAATCTTTTTTCAAATAAAACATTTAAAATTAACTATTTCTACTATTCATCACTTAAGGCACAACATGAGGGTATGCCAATCGAATTTTTTCCGTTTGGTGAAACAAAACGAAGTTTAACCAATTTATCATGTCGACACGGACATAATCCAAGAGGTAGGTAGCTTAAATTAAAATAAAATATATCTTTTGTTTTTCTTTTTCTAATATAGTGAAATATCAAAAATTATTTACATATGTTAAAACTGAACTAGTGAATCAATTACTAACAGAGCATAAAGTAGACGATCAAACGTCAACAACACCATCGGCATTATATGATCGAGGTTTAGTTCTACTACCTACACCATTTAATGATATAGAAACGTTAAAATATCCGTGTTTAAAAAAATTCAAAACAGATTTGAAATTACACATGACATGCAATCATCGAGGTAAGATAAATATTCAATTCAAGACTTCTCTCATTTATCTTAGAAATCTACATTTAGACATATCGCCTATTGATGATAAGAAAATCGTGTCTGGTGGACATTTATTAGATACAAATGGTTTTCAAATCACAACACGCTCTCTCAGTAATGAAATAATTACATTAGTAATGTTAACTGCAATCGATCTCGCTTATAGTGGGGTAACTAGCATTATGATCATTAATTGAAGAAGTACTTATTGACTTATTAGTTTAGCGTCGTACGATTTCACCATCAACATCGAATATAATAACAATATCTAATAACAAATTTCTCAACGATTTTTCTATTCGTCGTTGGCTTGAATTTATTGCATACATCATGGCTTATCATTCTCCATCATTTTTTACTTACAGATTATCATCGGCGTTGTTTGCCAACTCGGGTAATGCATGTTATATGCAGATCTATAGGACTAACCAAAATAGTCTGGTTAACAGAATTCAGTCGAATTTGTTTTCGTTGTAGAAGCTATAAAATGTTTCATTCAGAAAAATTGCAAAGAAAGATATAGACAAGACACTACTATCCTAAGCGATGCTATAATTATAAGTAAACCATTTTCAAAAAAAATCAATGTTTCAAGAAGTGTTTTATGAGAGACCATTGAAAAACTAAGATAGTTGAAGTTTGAGCTACAAACCAACCGGTTGATTTTTCGAAACTCAACATATTAAAAAATGCATAATGCACTACAAATCAATATTAAATGCCGCAAATTATACATACACTCTAGCCTACAGACAGTATACGTACTATTAATTTTTAAAAAAGAGCTAAATTTTTATTAAAACTGTTTTTCTGTCTGTTCGTGTTGTTTTGGAGGTCCAAAAGTGTATAAAACTGAGTCTAGAAACATGGATTAATCCATGTTTCTAGACTCAGTTTTATATGCTGAGTTCAAATAATACACTTTTTAGACCTTCAAAACAACATGAACGGACAAAAAAACAGTTTTAATAAAAATTTAGCTCTTTTTTAAAAATTAACAGTCTTGAGTCGTTTCAAATTTTCTCTTCACAGAGCCAATCTGAAAGACCAGAACGCGCACATTCGTACTCAGCTCGCCGAACTGTATCCAACCACGTATAAATATCGTGAAAAAAACTTTTACTCAATTTTTGGGTTAGCAGCACGGCAGTTTACACAAACAGATTAAGCGGGTAAACTAAGGTACATATGAATATTTTACAGTATTTCATATCGATTTTTAGCGAATTAATTTTCCAGAAAAAACAATTGGTTTGTATTTGAGCTATGCTCTAATTTCCAAAAATCTCTCTTGAAACACTGATTCTTAAGACGAACTGAACTTTCTACAACCGATTATTTTGTAGGTATACAAAAAACGATCTAGTGCGTTTTATTTCTTAACGGATGATAATTAGTCTATGATTCGTTTTTTTAGCCAAATCGTCACTACGAGATGTATCATTTTCGGATATGTATTTGTACGATAATTTATCGAAATTTGTACAAAATGTATCAATTAATTTTGTAATAAGTCGTCAAGAGCGTGAAGCAAAAACAAGAGAATGTCAATTTGGTTCAAAAGGTGAATGTTATTATTGTAATTTATTTCGTTCACAACATTCAAAAACAATATCAGATCTACCAATTAAAACTCGTTTGGAATTAGTTGAAAAATATGAATCGATCATATTCTATTTGGAATTGAATGATACTGAAAGTATTGATAAAAGTAAAATTATATTAGATGATGCATTTTTTGAACGATTTAATTCATTATGTTTTATTATCATAACAAATGTTAAAATTAAACAATTAAAATTGGATGATCAAAATTCAAATTATTTAAACAATCTTATCTATATTCGTTTAACAAATAATAGTTTAGAAGAAATTAATATTGATTTTAGTCGTTTACCAAATTTGACAGTAATATCCCTGAATAAAAATCCTTTAAAAAAATTACCAAAAAATTTTTTTGCAGTTAAAAATTTATCTTCTGTTGAATTTAATGAATTAGGACGTTTGTATGATATTGGTTCTTCAATGAGATTTTCATCCGAATTAAAATCATTGAAGTTTCTTCATAGTGTTTTATCAACTTTACCCGATAAACTAGAGGTAACAAGTAAAAAATTAATAGAACTTCATGCAAACGGTGTACCATGGTGGTCGGCAACAACGGGACTAAGTAAAGGTGAAGTGGTAAAATATGATTCATTTAAAGCAGCATTTCTATCCTATATGGATTCAACGGAAATTTTATCAGCCTATCAATTCTATGATAAAGATATCAATGGTGTCATTGATGCCGATGAACTTAATCTATTAAATGCACATTTATACAAATTTATTTCAAGATTTCGACCGACTCAGTCAATAAAACCGGTAAATTCTCCTCGTACTCCTGCTGATCCACTCATTACAACTACAAACGACAGTGAATCAACGAATGTATTTGCTTTATCTGGTATTCCACCAGTCATATTTCAGTTGCAAAATTTACGAACATTAAGTCTTGAATATCAAGGAATCAAATATATTCCAGATGAAATAAAATCGTTAACGAATTTGGAATGGTTAAATCTTAATTATTGTATAGAACTAGAAACACTGAGTCCTCAAGTGGGATTATTACGACTGAAAGAACTGAATTTAAACGGATGTTATTCATTAAAAACTCCTCCTAATGAAATAGTTAGACGTGGACATGACAAAACAATGGCATTTTTACAACGTTTAGTCAGTGGATCTACATCGTGTAAACGAACAAAACTAATGATGGTTGGATTAGGGGGAGCGGGTAAAACAAGTTTAGTAAGAGCTTTTCTAGCGCATAGTTCAGAAACTCCACCAGAAGTGACAGACGGTATTGAAATTAAAAAATGGGAAGTTCGAGGTGATTCTGGAGAAGACGATGTACTTGAATTTTCCGTCTGGGATTTTGCTGGTATGTAAATAAAGCTTTCTTACTTAGTAGTTTCATACAACAATTTTACTTTGATAGGGCAAAGTGTCTATTATCATACACATCAGGTATATATATTTTTTTATTACATAGCCACTGCTCTATCTAATGCCAAAACACGAGAGTCCAAATCACGACTTGGACTCGAGTCACATTTCTTTATGATTCAGACTCACAGTCTTGTTACTTGGACTCAACTAACACTAAAAAAAGTGGTCAATAGTCGTCATTTTTTTTTGTTTAAGTTTTTCCTAGCTAAAAAAGCTGTTTATGTTCTTGCTTGGAATATCCGTTTGGGTGCTGAGCATGCTGGTTTAGATTTTTGGCTTAGCTCAATTTCATGTCATGCACCACGTGCTCCGATATTTGTTGTTGGTACTCACGCTGACCAAGTATGACTCTTGTCTTATTTAATACTTCTATGTATATTTCTAATAGGCTTACTATATATAGGTGAGTCGATTCGATTTAAGACAAGATGATTATAGACGTCGTTATCCTCAAATAGTACAATTTTTCAATGTTAGCACAACAACAGGTTTGAATATACCTGAATTTATTGAGTCATTGATAAATACATCATTAGCATTACCATATATGGGTGAACAAATACCGAAAGGTAAGATCAACCTATTATTATACATTACAAATTCATTTTTTCTGATTTTTTTACCACAGCATGGTTAAATTTTGAAATATTAATCGCTGAATCACAAGAAGATATATTACCATATACTAAAATTGAAGATATTGCAAGAGATTCGGGTATTTTTGATTCAAGCGAAACATTACAAGCCGTGCAGTTTCTACATGATCTGGGTTCTGTGCAATATTTTCCATCAGAACATTTGAAACGTTTTGTTGTTATTAATCCACAATGGATTGTTAATGTTATGGCTTGTATCGTCTCAATCAAAGATAGTCCTGTTAAGGTAGTATTTTGTGAAACTCTACAACCAACTCGACGGAAATATAGAGGTTTACGTTTATAGCTCGAAACTACGAAATTTCACTACGTTTAGATCTCTCTAGAAATTTTATTTTCTACGCTAACAAATTTTCATATATCAAACAATAGGTTTTTCATGAAAAATATCTCATTTAACATTTTTTTTCGCTCTAGTCGTTTACGGCAATTTTGTTGAAAAACTTCATAATTTTGCATTTGTTTCGTTTTCGAATAGTTGTTGAATGATAATGATGCATTAAAAAGTGTCATTCACAAAACATTTCTGATGCTGGCATCTCCAACCAAAATTGCCCATTACGCTCCATTTTTCTGTAGTAGCTAATCGACGGATATCTATTTGGCATCAATTACTGAGACAACAGAAGTTTGCTTAGTTTTAGTCAATATTCTCAGTTTGATGTTCGTGACTATGTAAGAAAGATATGTGGAGTATTTCAAGTCTATTATGCTCAAGAAGAGCAAATGATGTTGCCGAGGGTTGAATTAATGGGTCTGTCTGTCAAAACTCATCTTCTATCGTTTTGAAGGAATAATACAGTTAAAAATGATGAAAATATTCTTCTACCTCTTAAAACAGCGAGTTCTAGTGATAAGGTAACCTTCTATGATCTCAGAAGAATTTAACCATTTTAGTCCCAAGGGACTACTCTGAAAAGACTATCCATATTACTTTAACATTTACGATGCTGTAATTAATTAATTGTAGGATGGTCGATTGTTTCACAAGGATATGTCAATTATTTGGGAAAAATATGATTCAAATTTGCATCCATGGATGTTAAAATTGACCGAAGCATTTGATTTAACGTTTCCTGTACCGGATCAATATATGAATCTCGTCCCATGTCTATTACCAGAAGAAGAGCCAGAGGTTCGATTGTTAACATTGATATACAGTCTTTCTTCAACATTGATTTCCATTCTTTTTTCAGTATGAATGGAATGATGATCTAACGGATACGGGTATTAAAGAAATGAAAGTTGTTTATACATTTGATTATTTACCAGGTATATTAATAAATAAGGATAATCTATATGAAAAAATGAAAAAAAAATATCTGTATATTTTTAGCTGGCTTATTCAATCGTGCTCAAGTTCGACTGTTTGAATTTTCTGATAAATCAACAATTTGGAGATATGGATCATTACTAATAAAAAATAATCATCGAGCGGTAATCGTTAAAACAGGTAAATATTGTCTTGTCTTTAACATGAACCTCGTTACGCATTAACAATGTTATTACAATAGATGATCAACATATAACAACAAAAATTCAAGGAATACGTCCAGATAATATTTTGTATATGATACACGAAGTCTTCGAAGGTAACACTTACTTGTACTCTCATTTTACCGAAGAAACATCTATGTTTCTACTTTACTTTTTAGGCTTAGTTAATGAATCTTTTTATGGAGTTACTTATGATATTGCGTTTCCGTGTCCGGATTGTCTTGAACAGGTAGTTTTTTTATTTCAATTTCGAATAGCGTACAAACAAGTAGAAGATGATATGTAAATGAATTTCAGAGATGAAGGTGATATTTCTTTTAGAAATCCAGTGATCCTTGGCAATTTTCAGCGACTCTTGTTCGTCGTGCAATTGAACTTAATTCACCATCTATTCAATGTCATCATTTATTTCACATTACATCAGTAACGGATTGTAAGTGAAGCATAAATATTCTCTCTACAAACTACGGTATTACTCTTTGCTGTTCTCATTTTTTTTCTAGTACAGGCACTAATTCCACCAACTAATAGAAGGTAGGTCATTCGCGTTCAGATTTTAGACATTTAACATTGAATAAATATTTCTTTTTCTCTAATATCTTCTGGTATAATACTCAAATTCGCTACAATACTATTTTAGTAATTATGATTTACATTTGGAGCAAAATGTTCGAGATTTAAGAACCTATAAACAAAACATGGTATGTATTTATAAACGACAACTATTATTAAAAAATAATTTGTTTTATTCATTAGACTTTTTTCAGTTTTTTTGTCATCTTTCTCTATCTCCCTTTCTCTCTGATAGACTTTTGATGTTGTTTATCTTTATCCTCCTGATAATATTCCATCTGATGCGGAAAAATCAGTTATGATCGATCCAAGACAAATTAAAGATGATTTAACGAGTAAGTTAACGAATCTCTATAGTTTAATACAATATAAAGTACTTTTATAATTTAAAGAACATGGTTTAAAAATTTGGTCGCCCGATTCAATGGCTGAATTCAAAATTGAAAATTCTTTTTTAATTGTTAAAGAAGCTCGTTTTATAATATTTGGAATATCAAGCGAATTAGTATTAAATGCAAATAATAAAAATCTCTATGATGCCTATAAAACAATACAAAATTTTCTTCGAAAACCTATCATACCAATAGTATTTGGTTTAGATCAACGATGGAAAGAAACACCGTTGGGAATTTCGTTAACCGATGTACTCTATATTAAAATGCAAGAAAAAAAACGTTATGATTCAAAAATGCAAGAAATTTTTGAACGTATTGATAAAGGTCATTCATCAGATGCATTAGAAAAAGTACGAAATGAACCAACAGACGTTTTTATTAGTTATTGTTGGGCCAATAGTCATGACGCAGTTAATAAAGGTAGACACATGAAATCTCTTAACTCTTTAAAATTCATGATGTTCATAAATCATAGTCAAAAATAATGAAGAGATATAAGTTAACAACTTAACACTTAATGGACTGAAGTTAGAGATCTGTTATTTGTTGCAGGAACAAAACCAAGTCATGCATCATTAGGTTGGAGTGATCCAAGAACATTAAAAGACTATCTTGAACAACGACAATTATCTGTATGGATGGATATAACTCGATTAGGAAAATCCGGTGTTTTACATGATATTGTTCAAGGTTTAAAAAATACAAAAGTTTTTATTGCATGTGTATCAGATGAATATACAGAATCTGATACATGTAAAAATGAATTTTTATTTGCAAAAAATACATTACGTTTACCAGTCATTTTGGCTGTATTTGGATTAGGAGATAAATGGAGGTAATTTTCAATCAACTTATACATGAACAGCAGAGAAAGAAAAGAGTTTGCTTTATTTATTCTAGAACAACTGAAGTTGGAATGTGTAGTTGCAAATGTGATCAAATTAATTTTCAGTATGAAAATCCAACAGCATTCGAAGATATTTATAAATTTGTTGATATTAATCTACCAAAACGACAAAGTTCAGCTGTAACAAAAATTTTAACATCAACTAACAAAGCTGACATCGAAGCCGAAGAAAATACAACAACCGCTTATCAGGTATGAATTTTGGATGTTATATTTTTTACGTGTGTTGAAATGAAAATCTTTTTTTCATATAGGAGTTGTTTGAATTAACTCAACGAAAATTTCTTCGTTTGACAATGAGTATGGCTGAATCGATGAGTGTTCGGCCGTTTCCTCGATTATTTGCATTGGATTTTGTTGGCAAAGAAGAAAAAACTGCACAAGAAGTTCAAAGGACACAGGTAAGTAAAACCTGTAAAAATATTTCTTTTCCTCAATGAATGAATCCATCCATCTTACCGAAAACCACTTCCTATTATGACATTAAAATTCAATTTCGTTTTTAGCTGACAAGTGTTCAGTTTGGTACTGTTGGTGATAAGCAAAAAGAAGAAGAAGAGAAAATGGGCACCGATGAAAGAGAAAAAATAGCAGAAACAGAAACCACGACAGAGACAGAGAAAGATGATCAAAATGGAAAAAATGCACAACCAGAAAAAGTAATTAAAAAGCTATGTATTAGAGTATTATGTGAACATGAAGAAAACTGGCATCCAGTTGGTCATCCATTTGAAGCTGAGAAAACAATTATTCAAAATTCATCATCCTATTTATCAAGAATAATGTTATTTTTAAAACATAGTGAATTACCAATGGAAATAATGACATCCGATGGTGAAGTTGAACTTGAAAAATTAAACGAGGTAGAAGAAATAAGTATACGCTGGCGTTCAAACTCCGATCCAGGCCAATCTCAGCCTAGATCAAATTTCAATCGGAGTTTGAACTAGTCTAAACTCCGATCGAAGTTTGACCTGTAATTGCAGTGGTCCAAACTATGGTCGGAGATTCGACTAGGCTAATCTCCGTCGAAAGAAAAAATTGCCGTCCATTCGACTAACTGTTCTAGTCCAAACTCTGATTGAACTAGGCCAAACTAAGATTAAAAATTGCTCAGGCCAAACTCAGAGTGGACTGGACAAAATAGATATGAAATATTTTAAAAAATCTGATCTAACTTCGTATTTATATCGACTTTTCAAAAAAGATATGAAATAGTAAAGTTATAATAGAAATACTTAACTGAATACAGATTAAGAGAACATCCAACCAAAAAGTTTGAGGCACAGAGTTGTTTATTTTTCTCGATTTAGGCAGATGGCTGGATCTTTATCACATTTTGTCGAACAGAATACCTTGTTTTTCTTGCACGCACATTGATTATTTTTGCAACCATCTTTGCATGAGCAAGTGACACCATTGAAAGCACTACGAACAAAAAGCTTTGAAGCTGTTATCAGTGGTATTTCCTCCTTACTATATTCCATGACAGGAAATAAGACAGATCAAGAGCAAGAGTTTGTTTACTACAAGCGGTTTTTGTTATGCACGCGCAGTACAGCAATGATATTACTTTTTCTATTATAACTTTACTGTTTCATATCTGTTTTGTCTAGTCCACTCTGAGTTTGGCCTAAGTTCAATCAGGGTTTGGACTAGAACAGTTAGCCCAATGTAACTTTTGACTGCAGTTTTTCTTTCGACCAAGATCGGTCTAGTCGAATCTCCGATCATAGTTTGGACTACTAAAATTACAGGTCAAACTTCGATCGGAGTTTAGACTAGTTCAAACTCCGATTGCAATTTGGCCTAGGCCTGGATCGGAGTATGGACGCTGACATATATATATAAAGACGTCGCGTTCTCAAAAATAATTTATTTGTTGTTTAGGATGCAAAAACCGCCATGCCGTTGAAAGATTCTTATGGTTACTTACGTCGATGGGTAATGGATTTCGATGAAGCAGAAAAATTTTGTGGTGTAAAACAGTGTTTAATGCCATCAGGCAAAATATTATGGTTATGTGAAGAGCATCTACATCAGCCACGCGTTGTACTTGTCACTGATTCAGTTGCATCTAACACCGGTCAACGAGATGAAGAAAAAAATATGATGATCACAGCACTCGACCAGCTCAACGAAAAAAGTATGATTCAACCATCTTCAATTAAAATAAATAAATCTTTTCTTAATTTTAGTTATGAACAATGAACTCGCATCATATTTCAAACCACCAGTGGAACAAATTCCAAACGAAGATAAAGAAGACACATTCGTTAGCGACACGGTAACACCACATAATAAAAAAATTGCATCAACGCCAACGATACAATCAGCAGCATGTACTATTATGTGAAAGTCTCATAAAAAAAGTAATCTCAATTTATTATTTGTTTTTTGTTATTATGCATCAAGCATTTATTTCTCTATCTGTGATACATTTCTTTCTTTTACCAATAAACACTGTTAATTTCTTACTATAATTTTTCATTTCGATAATTCAAATACTCAACAATCGCCATACTTTTTCTAATTTCGTACAACTATTCAAAACAATCTTGAATAAGATCAATATCGTACAACCTCGTGACTATTTTATTGAATTTCTTTTATATTAATTTTGGCATTCTCAAACAGATAAAAAACGAAAAGTAACTTAAACATAAGAGCGGGCATTTTATGTAAAACATGCCGTAACAATTTGTTGTAATTTCTAAACAGTGGATATTGAAAGTTTTTCATTTTAGCTACATAAGCAAACTTCTCATCTGACCAAAAAAATACATTGTTACTATCGTTTTTGACTTTATTATAGGAGAAAGCTACTCTTACTACTATCGGCGCTAAAGTATGGTGCGGCTGACTCTTTTTGAATAACTTTTTATAGGAATGAGATAGAGACCTGCGATTTTCGCTATTCGATAGCCAAGACTTGAGCGGAACTTTTCGCAAGTGGAAACAACTTTTGAAAAAATTTCAAAGATCGGATTTCCAGAGGATCTTGGAAAACCAGCTCCGTTCTCAGAAAACTAACATACAATGTTAGTAATTTTTTTGCATGTGTAGATAGTTCGAACGTTACTCTACAAAATTATGCAAGTTCCGGCTCTCCAGCTATCTTCGTTCGGACAGAGCTCGCTTTTCCCGAGCACGTGTCTATCTCCGAGCAGGCATCTCTGGGAATCTCAAAATGCCATGGAATATAGGTAATCGACTACGCTGAGCATAGTGGCAACATTTGCTTTTGTGTAAAAATGAATATAACTTCGCCAGAGGCATTTTTGTGAAAAAACGGTTTTTCGCCTGTTACTATCAAAAATTAAAATCCTTATATCTCGATCAAATCTCATGTTGAGTCAAGAAACCTTTCAGGAAAGACTTAAAGGGTATCATATATTATTGATCACGCCCGAAAAAGTGATCCAGCAGGACACTGACGCTTTGAGGTTTTTCAGAAGGTTTCTGAAAAACCTTAAAACAATGCTCGGTTGAAATTCACCTTTTTCGTCCTCGATTATGCTTTACGAGCTGTCCTGAGCGTTTTCTGAAAATTTCCT